TGTATATATCACCATGAATGTACTAGATGGAAGCTAAGGCAGAATAGGGTGTAGAACTTGATGAAGTAAGGGCTGCCTTGCTCCAATATAGCTGAGCCCAGGTCTGCAGTCCTGACAGTTGTCTGATGAGGTTGACCTGTGCCCATGTGCTTCTATCCCCAGGTTCCACTGAGGAAACACCTCCTAATATACCACAGCCTCCGCCAGAGCCACCAGCTGGACCTCCAGACCCTGCCCCTCGCCTGGATGAGCGCCCCTCTTCTCCTATCCCTCTCTTACCCCCACCCAAGAAACGCCGGAAAACTGTCTCCTTCTCTGCTACAGAGGAGGCGCCAGCTCCAGAGCCTCCCCCAGCTGCCCCACTGCAAGCCAAGTCTCCTGGCCCAGTCTCTCGGAAAGTTCCCCGGGTTGTGGAGCGGACCATTCGTAACCTGCCCCTGGACCATGCATCTCTGGTTAAAAGTTGGCCTGAGGAGGTGTCCCGAGGGGGTCGGAATCGGGCTGGAGGTCGTGTCCGCTCTGCTGAAGAAGAAGAAGGCACAGAGTCAGGGACAGAAGTGGACCTGGCAGTGCTGGCTGACCTAGCCCTGACTCCAGCCCGACGGGGGTTGGCTACCCTACCCACTGGAGACGACTCAGAGGCCACCGAGACCTCAGATGAGGCTGAGCGCCCAAGCCCTCTACTCAGCCACATCCTCTTGGAACACAATTATGCCCTGGCCATTAAGCCCCCACCTGCCACACCAGCACCTCGGCCCCTAGAGCCAGCTCCTGCCCTTGCTGCACTCTTCAGCTCCCCAGCTGATGAAGTCTTGGAGGCCCCTGAGGTGGTGGTGGCTGAAGCAGAGGAGCCAAAGCAACAGCTGCAGCAGCAGCAGCAGCATCCGGAGCAGAAGAGGGAGGATGAGGAGGAGGAGGAGGAGGAAGAAGAGGGGTCTTCAGAAAGCAGCAGCAGCAGCAGCAGCAGTGATGAGGAAGGGGCTATCAGGAGGCGCAGCCTCCGCTCCCACACTCGACGAAGACGGCCACCACTCCCACCCCCACCCCCACCACCTCCTTCTTTTGAGCCAAGGAGTGAATTTGAGCAGATGACCATCCTATATGACATTTGGAACTCAGGCCTGGACTTGGAAGACATGAGCTATTTGCGGCTCACGTATGAGCGGCTATTGCAGCAGACCAGTGGGGCTGACTGGCTTAATGATACTCACTGGGTCCATCACACAAATATCCTGAGCCACAGAGCTTGCTTGTACCCTAGAGCAAGACACAGGGCTGGGATGGGGTCAGCATTCCCTGGGGTCATATGGCCAGAAATGTCATCCTCAGGTCAGTCCTACAGCTGCAGTGATCTCCTGTCTGTCTAATTTACTGTGCCTTGATTAGCTTTGGGGTTCTCTAGTTGCCAGCTGTCTTTTCCCTCTGCCTTGTGTCTCCTCTGACTGAACAGGTAAGATCTAGACTTGCCTTCTCCTGTCTGTCTCCTGAGTATTCTCACTATCAGACCAGCTACCCTGTAGGCTGGGTCTGGGGTGCACAGGAGGTGTGAGCCCTAAGGGACTGGCCAGTAGGGAACCTGTTCTCTTCCTTAACACCCTGCACTCACCAACCTAAGCACTCCAAAGCGTAAGCGACGGCCCCAAGATGGGCCCCGGGAGCATCAGACAGGCTCTGCACGCAGTGAAGGTTACTACCCCATCAGCAAGAAGGAGAAGGACAAGTACCTGGATGTGTGCCCTGTCTCAGCCCGACAGCTGGAAGGCGTGGACACTCAGGTAGAGTCCTGCCCCAAGCCCTAGCTTGCTGCCTCCTTCCTGTCCTTTAAGCACTCATCACCTGTCTTGCTCACAGGGGACTAATCGGGTACTTTCTGAGCGACGATCAGAGCAGCGGCGGTTACTGAGCGCCATTGGCACCTCAGCCATCATGGATAGTGATCTGCTAAAGCTAAACCAGCTCAAGGTCAGGAGGGGAAACTGGAGGAGGGAGGAGACCCAGTGGAAAAAAAACCACAGCAAGGAGATTGCCCCTGGCGGGATCCTGTGGGACGGGAAGGCGGAAGGAAAGGGAAGGTGCAGGTTTGTGAGAACATCAGCAGTTAAAGCTACCTTTTGTCCCCTAGTTCCGGAAGAAGAAACTCCGATTTGGCCGGAGCCGAATCCATGAGTGGGGTCTGTTTGCCATGGAACCCATCGCAGCTGATGAGATGGTGATAGAATATGTTGGCCAGAACATCCGCCAGGTAAGGTTCCACTCCAGCACCAGCCCAGTCGCTGACTACAGCAGCATGGGATTTCACCATCTAATCTTTTGTACAAAATCTCACTCATTACTGCCGCTGCCGCTGCCCAGCTTTGATGTTAGTGGTCCAGCCAGGAACACTGGACAATAATGATAGTAAAGAGTGGTGTTGATACTAAAGGGTTGTAGGTGTTGTGGGGACCCAGAACCTCCCAAAGACCTGCAAGCTAAAGGGTAATGAACTCCTGGGGCATCAGGATATATATGCTCCAGTTCTGAAGACAGAATTTGCAAAGGCTCAGAAGCTGTCCTCTTCGGAGGATGAGGCCAATGCATCTGTTCAGAGCCAGTGACAGGGATGTGAACCTGGACATGCAAGTGGAGCCAACTCCTCAGAGCTGGAACCCTGTCAGTCAAGTGTAACCTTGTGGGTGGATGGGGAATGTTCTGGAAGTTGTGCAAACAAGGACTTGAGAAGCTAATAAGCTCCCTCTGGCTGTGTAGAAAAGAGCTTGTGTGGACTGGCCTCAGTGGTGCTTAATGGCAGGTCAGAGCCAAAGTATGGATGAGGTAGTGGCAACAGGGGTGACAGGACTCTAGCCTGTGGGTCCAAAGTGGTTGACAGAACCAGGTAGTTGGCTGTAGAGGATGAAAATAAGGTGTCAAGGCCTTCCTCGGGGCATCCCCAGTAGCTTTGAGGAATGTGGTTGGGAGCAGCAGAAGGAACACAAATGCAGTCAAGGTTTGTCTCAGTGCAGATGTGAGCTTGGGGTCCTAGGGTTGTAGGGGTGGCATCCCACAGTCCTACTGAGGTGGGCTTGGCTGGAGGTGGAAGCCTGGGAGGAGTCCTCACTTAGAGCTGGTGGTTAGAATTCTGCAAAGGGGTAAGGTCACTCAGTGAGAGTGGCAAATGCATTGCCTATTTCTTGGGAATAGTTGCCCCTTGCTGAAAGGCCTTTGTCCTGGCACAGACCATCTGCCATCTGCTCTCACCAGCTGCCCAGTAGGTGTCTGGGAAGGATAGTCCTAGGAAAGGATTCAGTTGAAGGCATGGCCACTGTCACATCAGAAGCCGCTGCAGGCCCACAGTATACTGTGAGCTCCACTGTGGCCACACAGGTTCTCAGCAGAGAGTCCTTGTGTGACTGACTTTGGATCAGATTGGGTGGAAGCAGGTAGACCCAGGGCATATCCAGTCAGCATGGCCCAGGAGCTGTTGGCTTGGTCAGCTAGCTCGTGCAGTGGCTGAAGTCCATGCATGTGTTCATCTCATCCTCCTCCCAGATGGTAGCTGACATGCGGGAGAAGCGCTACGTTCAGGAGGGCATTGGCAGCAGCTACCTTTTCCGGGTGGACCACGATACCATCATTGATGCCACCAAGTGCGGCAACCTGGCCAGGTTCATCAACCACTGCTGCACGGTGCGCTCAGGGCTGGGCCAGGGCTGGGCGGGGCAGGGGTGAGGGGGGCTGCGGCTTACACTGCCCCTCCTGCAGCCCAACTGCTACGCTAAGGTGATCACCATCGAGTCTCAGAAGAAGATTGTGATCTACTCCAAGCAGCCCATTGGCGTGGATGAGGAGATCACCTACGACTACAAGTTCCCACTCGAGGACAACAAGATCCCGTGTCTGTGTGGCACTGAAAGCTGCCGTGGCTCCCTCAACTGAGGTGGGGCAGGACTGGTGCCCTCACCCCTATTTATTCCCCCTTGGTGCCCTAAGCTCCCAGCACCCCCAGCCTTAGTGGGCTCAGCAGGGCCCACATGTCCCCATCTCCACATGTGGGATAGGGGCCCTGAGCCCAGCAAGGGAGCCTCAGTCCTTTGAGGTAACTTTTGACTCCCCTGTACCCCACGCCCAACCACCCTCTTATTTTTTTTTTTTTCTTTGCGGAGAAGAAGCTGTAAATGTTTTGTAGCTGCCAGCAGCTGTTTCCTGTGGAAACCTGGGGTACCAGCCTGTATAGATGCTATTCTTGGGGGCTAAATAGCCCCCTCTGCTTCATGTTAGTGGGGACTTCCCCCTTCAGCTCTATGTGCACCCCTCCCCAGTTTAGGGGTCTCTGGGGCAGTGGCCATGTTCTCCCCCTGGGGGGGCCTTTGGCCCCTAGTCCTGGGAACTCTGTGCCTGGAACCCTGCCTCATCTGTTCCTGCCAGACCCTGTGGGTCACCCTCCCACCCTGGTGTCTCAGGGCTCTGGCTCAGTGGGCCAGGATGGTGGTGGGCAGGCCCTTCTTGTTGGGCTGGATTGTACATAATGTTAATAGTGAAAACCCAACGCCACATTTTTATAATTGTGATTAAACTTTATTGTACAAAAATGCTTGGTCACTATCTTTGGGAAGAGCAGGCTGGGATGCAAGTTGACATAGTGGGTGAATCAAGAGAAGGGGGAAATGGGTGGCTTGAAGTTTGGGGTGAATAGGCCTACAGACACAGCAGTACTGCTGTGGGCAAACCACCTAACGGACAGCAACAACCATGCCAGTGTCTCCCCATGGACGCTAGCCAGAGCTGTACCAAGATCAGGGTTCCCTCCTCTCTCCCCAGAGCCACAGCTAGTGCTGGGCCTCCAGCCTACTGGGGAACCCAGCAGGAGGGACAAACCAAGGTCACCCTGTTTCCACCCCATTATCCCCAACTACATCATTACCAAGTGGGCAGGTTCTGTCCTCTGCCTGCCACAGAGTGAACTGGCCACCAGGGGGCACTCTAGCAAAATTCCCTTCTCCAAACTTCCTTGCCCGCCCCTAGGGGTGGAGGCTAGGCTGGTCTCCTTCCTGGAATGGGCCAGGAGGGAGGAGCAAGCGGAAGGAAGGAAGCCTGTGTGCAGCTAGCTGGCCCACCAGTCCAGGACACAACCTCTCCCAGTGGCCAGTTTGGACTCCCTGGGACTAGCCACAGGTAGGCAGATGATACTGCGCTCCAGGTGGCCCCTCTCTTAGTCTCAGCTCTTCCTGCCTCTCTATACCCTTTCTATCCAGCTCTGCTGTTTTCCACCTTTAGTATCCCCAGTCATTTTTTCCATCCACCTCAGTCCCTAACCCTTTCTGCATCCAATCCTAGTGACTCAGCGGTTAGGGTCAAGAGGGCAGGCAGCCTGATTGCTACAAGCACACAACTGCAACCCACAGCTAGAACTCGGCCTCTTTCATATCGTTGCCCCACCTACTAGATCTCTTCTAGGAATAACACAGTTGGAGCAGGTGGTATCAGGCAATTCCAGTGAGGGAAATTCTCTTCCCACAGCTGGGCATGGCAGAATCTGCACAGGTGCCAACACTGGTATACCTAGTCACAGGTGGCTGTGGCTTCCTGGGGGAGCATATTGTTCGAATGCTGCTGGAACGGGAGCCCAGGCTCCGGGAGCTGCGTGTCTTTGACCTGCACCTGAGTCCCTGGCTAGAGGAGCTGCAAACAGGTGACTGAGGTCGGGCAGGAGCATGAGGAGGGGGTGTTGCTCCATCCCTCCCTGAACTGGTTTGCTTGCACTTGTGGAAAAGATGATCCTGTGTCTGTTTTCCAGCTCACACAGCTGGGATGGGTGAGTCACTGGGAGCACGTGGCCCCTGGGGGCATGCAGGCTGAACTCAGCTGCAGGCCGAACTCAGCTGCAGGCCAAGGCCCCAGCTCTGACACTGCCTGGGGCCTCTCCACCAGGGCCTGTGCAGGTGACTGCCATCCAAGGGGATGTGACTCAAGCCCACCAGGTGACAGCTGCCGTGGCGGGATCTCACGTGGTCATCCACACAGCTGGGCTGGTGGATGTGTTTGGGAAGGCCAGTCCAAAGACCATCCACCAAGTGAACGTGCAGGGTGAGGCGCTACCTTCCTGTTCTTTTGTGTGACACCGGTCGTCCCTTAATCTGTGGCCATCCTGTGAGTTTCCTGTCTGAGCCTGTCCTGCTGATAACCCAACCCCATCACTGCTGTCCCATCCTCTCCTGACTTGTGGTTCTCCTTAGACACTGGGTGGAGCAGAAAAAGAGGCCGAGTCAGGAAGACACAGCTTGCATTTGTCCCCTTCACAGGCACACAGAATGTGATTGAGGCTTGTATACGGACTGGAACTCAGTTCCTGATCTACACAAGCAGCATGGAAGTTGTGGGGCCTAATGTCAAGGGCCACCCCTTCTACAGGTAAGCTTAGCCCCACTTAATTTCAGAGTCCACTTCCTTCCAGCACTGAGTCTTTTTTCTCCCCGCCTAGGGGCAATGAAGACACCCCATATGAGGCAGTCCACAGGCACCCCTATCCTTGCAGCAAAGCGCTTGCTGAGCAGCTGGTCCTGGAGGCCAATGGGAGGAAGGTATACTGCAAAGACAGGGCTTGGGGTGCTGAAGACTGACCCCCAGGTTTCTTTGACTCCATCTCCACTGCATGGTGGCCAGGGTAGAGGGGTACACTCCAACATTTTCCCTTTGTTATCAGGTCAACGGAGGGCTACCCCTAGTGACATGTGCCCTTCGACCCACGGGCATCTATGGTGAAGGTCATCAGATCATGAGAGACTTCTACAACCAGGGCCTACGTTTTGGGGGTCGGCTGTTTCGGGCCATCCCAGCTTCTGTGGAGCACGGTCGGGTGTATGTTGGTAAGGACAGGGCAAGGGCAAGGGGGGACGGAGAGCAGGGCAAGAGGTCTGTCTCTCAAGGTGGCAGAGTCATGAGTGTCGCCCTGGCTCCGTGAGGGCCCAGGCAGACAGTGATCATGTGGGCATTTTCTGCATGGGTGCAAAAGAGAAAGTATCCTTGTCAGTTGGGAGGGCTGACATAAAAAATATGTCATAGGTTATGCTGAGCCTGACAGTTCTCCAAAGAAAGAGAAGGGCAGCGTCTGTACAGGACATCCAGGAAGGCTGCTGGCTACCTTGTCCAGACAGTAGTGAGGTTTGGGTGGCATCTACATGGGGCCAAATAGGGGACTGGACCAAGGGCCCTCAGTGGCATATCTACCTCCCTCCCTACTGGTAGGCAATGTGGCTTGGATGCACGTGCTGGTGGCCCGAGAGCTGGAGCAGCGGGCGGCACTCATGGGGGGCCAGGTGTACTTCTGCTATGACAAATCACCTTATAAGAGCTATGAGGACTTCAACATGGAGTTTCTGGGTCCCTGTGGACTTCGACTGATAGGCACCCACCCACTGCTGCCCTACTGGCTGCTGGTGCTGCTGGCTACCCTCAATGCCCTGCTGCAGTGGCTGCTCCGCCCACTGGTGCTGTACACACCCCTGCTGAATCCCTACACTCTGGCCATGGCCAACACCACCTTTACTGTCAGTACCAACAAGGCACAGCGCCATTTTGGCTACAAGCCCCTCTTCTCATGGGAAGAGAGCAAGGCCCGCACTATTCTCTGGGTGCAGACCTTGGAGGGTTCAGCCCGGTGATGGCAGGGCCAGGGACTGGAGGCCACTGTGGTACATACTCAGGTCCTGAGCCTTCAGAGCCTGGAGGGAGAGACATGGCTGCCCTCTGACGTGGGAGCTGTGGTGTCTGACTGGGCGGTATGGACCCTGCCATTTTACCTACACAGATCTGAGCCTGGCTGGTATTCCAGCCTCCAAGTTCTAGGACAGGGTTTGGGAACAGGCCTGTCTTTGGTCCCAACTCACGCATGCCAGCTGGTCGGCAAAATTGATTCCTAAATGGTCTCATGACCCCTTCACATCTCCAGTTTCTCAAGCAGGAAGGGGAAAAGATCCCAGAGAACTCATGCTGGTTGGCTTACTCTAGATGCCATCTTCAGACCTGGCTTCTGCTACATCTGGCTCTCCTTAAGGGGTTATAATTCCATGACTTTCTTAAGTGTATCTCTTTTAGATATTTATGTTTTAATTTGCTTTAAAGAAAGCTGAAGAAATCAGTGATTTTCCATGTCTTGCCTCTCCAAATTCAGTTCCTGTGATATTGTTAGCTTTTGGCCAAGAATGTCAACCATGCTGTATCTGGCCAAGTCTGGATTAAAATCCGTTTCCAAGTCTGTTTCTACCTGTTGTTCCCCCACCCTCCATGTCTCCCCTCACCACGGTGGCGCCTGTCCCATGTGGGGACAGAAGGAAGTGAGCACACAGCAAGCCCGCTGTTGGATTAGTTGCTATTTCTCCCGTCCCACCAGGCCCAACCTGGCCCAGGATGGGGTTCAGGGGGCTCTGGGGACAGGACATGCAGGTCTGGGGCAGGGGTCAGAGTTTCCTGTATTTTATCCATTTGCAACTTGGTCACCAATAGAGAGAAGTAAGACTCTGAGGGCTAACAGGAGGGTGGCCAGGCTCTGGGCCCTCAGCCAGGCCCCAGGAGTCCTGTCCCCTCATGGGAGGAGGGGGAGAGAGTTCTAGAAACCAATGGAGAAAAAGAGAAGGGGCAGGGGCTCATGTCAGCAAACATGGCTACATCACATGACACGCCAGCGGCACAGAAACACACCAACACACACAGCTGCACGGCGGGGCGTGGGGAGTCTAGGTCTGGGAGAAGGGAACTAGGGACCAACTATCTTGTCCTCTGTGAGGTGGGCAGGGCAGGGTAAGTGCATAGAACACATCATGTGTACACGCTCAAGGCATGGCGAGAGCGTGACGACCCACGGGCACAGGGGACGGACACATGGTGTGCTTTGTAAGAGGCGAGAGAAGTGATGATGGAAGCAGTGGTCCTGTCGTGGGTCCAGGGCCACCAAGGGGGCACATTTGGGCTTCATGGTTTTAGGTGTGTGGAAGGCAGGCGGCACACACTTATCCGAGAACATGCAAAAGACACCAGCCCCCAGACAGTCATCCAGAACACACATATGGACAGCAGTCCACAAGCATGTCCGTCACGTGTCTTGTAGAAAGCTGGGTTACAGCAGACTCGGGGACTGTTAATCCACTTGAGGCCCAGTGGTGGGCAGCAATGGGCCCAGGGCCATTCAAAGAGGCAGAAGCGGCATGCCAGCCACAGTCCTGTCCTTGTGGACACCATGATGTGGGTGCCAGGGAGGCTGCTGGGAACACCTGGGTTAAAGGGAGTTCTGGCTGGGCTGAAGGATGCTGGGGCCTGGCCCCCTCTGACATCTCCAAAGAAGCCAAGGATGGGGGCAGTAGGCTCTGGGCGGACTCCTGTCCTGCCAAAGAGTATTCTGGAAATGGATAGCCAGGCTCCCTCCTCAGCACAGCTAACCTGGGATACATACATGTGGACACACGCATGCATATGCACACACACACACACACACACACACACACACACACACACACACACACACACACCAGGTGGGCAGAGCTCAAACAGCTAGGTGGGGAAGAGATACACTGTCGGGGCTTGCTCATAAGTCTCATCATCTGAAAAGTCATATTTGCAGAGTTCTCCCACTCTTCCTTCTCCCCAGGTCCTGCACACACTTGTGTACACACATGGCAACCCTACTCCAGGGCAGGACTTCTACCACAGTCCTTTATCCCATTTTCCTCCTGCCTACTCCCAGAGAACCCACAAAATGCACAGCCATCCACACATGGAAGGAAGGGTTCCTCCACTCCTCACCACCAAAGAACAATCCCTGTCTCACCCTCCCTGTCACCCAGCTGCAGTACATGACCATGGCAGTACACATGTCCGAGGGACAGATTCAAGGACGGCCCTAAGTAACCACTCGGGTATGTGTGAAATCCAGTTATCCAAACCCAAGTTTCTTGAGGAAGAGTCCAGAGCATCAGCTAAGGCAGTGAGAACAAACTATAGCTTCTGAGTGAGTCTGAGAGGCAGGAAGAGGAAATGCCATGATTTCCTGCCTGCCTGGAGCAGCCCTTGACATCTTACCTCCTTAGGCCCACCACACTCCTTCCAGGAGACAGTTTATGTGCAAATGGGTGTGGCCCAGGGTGGGCACCATGCTGTTCATGTGTGAGGCCCCAGCACTAATGTGTGGCCACCTTTCTGAACTTCCCGTGCCTCAGCATTTATGAACACACTAGGATGTGCTAGCTGTCCAAGGCTCAGTGCTACTGTCAGGCAGAAACAGAAAGGTAGAGTCTGGGTGTGTGTTCCCATCAGACGGTCTGGGGAGGGAGGAAGCACCACTTGCACACTCCTGCTGGAGCCGTGTGTGTGACTGCTGTTCTGAGGGAAGTGAGGGAGCACTAAGTCTGCAGAAACAAACCTGGGGAGCACGTCCTTAAAAAGAAGTGTGTGTGCATGTCACATGCAGAAGCAGAAACGTATAGAAAGTCCCCAAAGATGTACACGTACACACACAGAGTCAAATTCCAGGTAGCTTAGAAACAGACATCTGTCCCGACCCAAACTAGTGTCTAATTCACAGCATGGATAGCTCTATCTGAAGAGAAAACTATCAACACCACACACACGCACACGCACACACGCGCGCACACACACACACAAGCCCTTTACATCATCTGTTGGGGAAATACACATTCATACGAACTAAGACAGGCTGTTCATCATTTACCCAGACTTCCACTTGCCTCTCCTGAACTCCAAGGCTCAACACACACACACACACACACACACACACACACACACACGGGACTTGATGCAACCCCTGACAGTAACTGAGCCAGGAGAGTTTGTAAATTTGTTCTACATCACTTGAGATGTGTGCCATGGTCTCTGGGCCTCCCTGGATGCTCTGAAGGTGTGAATTTTCTTCACACATAGCTCCCACTCCAAATGTAGCAGATAGGAGAGAAGGTCAGTGGAGGAATTGCATTTGCATTGGGTTTTCACACTTACAAAACTCCATGTACACACACTGTACGGCCACAGATTTATGCACACACGTTCATGCACGTGTGCGCACGCGCGCACACAAACACACACACACACACACACACACACACTCACTCACGCACGCACGCACGCATGCCTATCCTACACATATGTCTATTCACAAAAGACAGGTTGTGGCATGGTGGGCTGCTGTGTTATACTCAGCCACAGTCTGCACAGCAACCAGATAGGGAAGTTCAGACCACACAGGATGGAGGTGCCAGCAAGAAAAGGTTCAGGGCATCTACACACATCTGCACAAGTACACACACACTGGGGTGTCCACACATCTTGAGCATGTGCCCGCGGCATGCATGTTGGTGTGCATGTGTGATCACGCCTGCTGCTATCTATGTGCGGCAAAGTAGAGGGGGGGATCCATGGCAAGGTGAGAGCCAGGGACTCCAGGGTCTGCGGTGAGGGTGAGAGGAGCTGGAACTGCCTGGGTCTGTTTTGGGAGTGAGCTTGGAGCAGGGGAGAGTGAAGGGTGGTGGGGATATTGCTCCCGATGTGTGGGGAGGGACCTAGGGAAGAGAAGGGTAGGGGCCTACAAGCCCAGTGTTCCCCCAATAGATGACGCCAAGACCACCCCCAGCACCACACAGCAAATGATGATCATGATTTTCTTCTGCAGGTGGAAAGATTAGGGGAAAGAGGGAGAGAGAGACAGACAGACAGACAGACAGACAGACAGACAGACAGACAGACAGATGAAGGGAGAGTTAGGATGTGGGACATAAGGAAAGAGAGGGGAGAGAAAACAGAAACAGGAAGAGGTCAGAGCCAGAGATAAGGCCTCTCACCCATTTCATAACTGCCACCCCCACTGGCCTCCCACCCGCTCCGTCAGGCCGCCTCCACTGGCTTACCCTCCGAGCCTTGCTCTGGTATTTCACAGCTTTCTTGGTGTCGGACACAGCTCGTTCCACATAGTCCACGGAATGTTCCACATTGTATTCAATGCGGTCAATCATCTCGCCCTGCAGACAAGGAAAGTGAAGAGGGAATCAGGAGGGTCGAGTTGGAAAAGGCAACCTAGGGTGGGGTTCAGGGGGGCTCCCAGACTGGTGCAGCCTGTACCTGACTCTCTACGAGCATGGCCATGTCCACAAACATATCGTGCAGCTCTCGGATGCTGGTCTCCAGTTTGATGATCTCATTGTGCCTGGTCTCAATCTCATTTAGTGCCTGCTTCGTCATCTGGGAGTCCATTTTGATCTAGGGTGATAGGGGAAGAAAGGGCTGTGACCAACCTTTGCCATGCAACAGCTTCAACTTAACAGTTGGAGGGGCGGGGTTCAAATCCTTGGGCAGTTTTTACCCTCTTCTGGATCTTGTTAGCACGACCTAGAAAATATGGATCATAAGCCAGGTGTGGTGGCGCCCGCCTTTGATCCCAGTACTTGGGAGGCAGAGGCAGGCGGATCTCTGTGAGCGTTCAAGACCAGCCTGGTCTACTTAAGGAGTTCCAGGACAGCCAAGGCTACACAGTGAAACCCTGTCTGGGAAAAAAACAAAAAAACAAAAACATGGATCACAGTAGTGCTATCTCAGAAGATTGTTGTGTAGCTGAGTGAGTTTGTGGGTGTATTGCTGAACAATCCCTGGAACACCAAAAGCATCAAAGAGAAGTTTGTTGAATTACAAGAAATAAAGCTTGTAGAGAAGAGAGCCCACACTCTCACCCCAGGGCTCCCTGGAGTAGTGCACACATAAGGGAAGCCCAGGGAAGGAAGATGCTCAAAGCCGGCAGGTGATAGAGACACACAGCAGGCGGAAAGCCACGACAGACAGGGAGGCTCAAACGTGAAGGCAGTGTGCCCATAAGTTGACAGAAGCCTGCGTGAGGTGAAGCAGGGAAGTCATGAGAACACAATGCACACGGGCCTCAAGAGATCAGGAGAAATCCCAGCTCACAGCTGCAGTGTCCCCTTTGCTCCTGACCTGGGCCATTGGCCCCTTGCTGAGTTTAGAAACAGTAGGCTGTCACACCTATCCTCTCCTTCCCTAAGTCCCTCCCCACACATTGGGAGAAACACCCCACACACACCCTTTCACTCTCCCCTGCCAAGCTCACTCCCAAAACAGAGCCCTTCTACCGATATTCCCTGACCTATTGGAAGAGCCAAGGCCATCCAACAGCTGCCCCCATCTCCCTACACTTTTGATTACGCTTTGCCAATATTCTCATATCTAAAAGCTCATTTGCTTCTCTTTTT